AGTATCATGTCTTTTTCAGGTGCCTAATAAAATGTAGTTTTTTTAAATGAATGCCATTTAAAGAGAATCTATTATCAGCACGATTTTTGAATTAGCAAAATGCGATACCTGAAGTATGCGTGTTGTGTTAATTGTTTCATGATATTTCAGAGCATAGGTCTCATTGCTTGTGTTGCATTGCCAATACAATCTAAAACCGATACAAATTTTCATCACTGGAAAGATAAAGCGCGAAAACGGAGTTAAGGGGGAAATCAACAGCTGGTCCTAGTACAGCTATTCCAATGGACTTGATGTTGATGACAATCACACCATAGTTGGATTGAAACCTAACAAAACTATCAAAATCACTTTTATATCTTAGTGGACACGGTTTGTCGACTTCAGTGACCCTCTTATGGAATTTAGAAGTCAGAATTGATGTTGTTTTTGTCTTATCTGAATCTTTAAACAAATTTATATATATATGTAATATACAACCTAAAACAGATTTTTAGCACGTGTATAACATATTGCAATGTTTCTTTCACGCTGTGATACAACATGTGCCAGGTTATGTGCTACTGCTACAATTTTCTCGATGTTTTGAAATATTTTTGGATGTTATACATTTTCTCTCTCTCTCTCTCTGAAAAATGTTCAGCAGTATTTACGGAATTCTATAATGGCTTAATGGTTTGTAGTGTTTTTGAATATTTTGCAGTTTTTTGTTTTTCGCCGTTTTTCTTTGTGTACCATGATGTTTTAGAACGTTATGAAAGGTTTTACCAACACATCCGACTTTAACAATCGCCCGCTCCATTTTTCATAACTCCTGTTGTCTTATACCATGACGTCAAACGTAAGTTTTAATGTCGAACGCTTCTTTTGATGATATACAAAGGATGACAATGCTGTAATGGATCATAACGTTTATTTCCAATGTGCGATTTTTTTTATATTGACTGTAAAAATAGATGTCGTTGCTACGGTAAAGCACCCACTTCAGAACCGTTAGGTCACGGTCCGGTCATCGTCCGATCACCGCCCGGCCACCGTCCGTCCTGCGATCAGCCACCGTCCGGTTCGCACCCGGCTCAGGCTGGTTAGATGTACGTTTGGCCGTTTGGCTATTAAAGCATTTTGCCGGCCTCTCCATCCTACTTTTTTGCTCGGTTATTCCTGTCGGGCTATACCTTCGGCTATTTCGGCCGGGTCTTCTGTTCGGTCGGCCTCCGAGTCGTTTGGATGCGCGCACATCATCAGATTGCTTCATTTGTGAAAAAACATCATGGATGCGATTCAAATGTGAAGTTAGAATTACTGATGAAGGCCTCTGCATTATAAAAGCTGGGGCTCTGCTACAGGGAAAACCAGCAATAGCCTGAGCGAAGGGGCTGTAATGTACACCTGATTAGGCCACAGTTTTTCTCTGAACTCCAGCAAATGCAATTTCGCTATGTAGTAGTTTGTCTTGATGAGAAATATATTTTTTATAAAAGGAGCATCAGTCCCAACAGGTAGATTTACCTGTAAAACTTACCTGTTGGAAGTCAAGTACCTTTATTGCAACACTTTAATACATATATAAATGTTAAGTTGTTGTTTGATTTATATATATATATATATTATGCTTTTGTTATGATATTGTTTAAAATTATGTCTAAAAGGCATTTTAGATGTAATTCAATGATTTATAAAAATAGTTTGAACTTGGGGAAAAAACCCATTAACATTTTCAAGTGACCGGGTCATGAGAAATTTTCTTTTGTTTGTTTCAGTTATCTTATGAAAAAAATAAGTACTCTTTATTTCAAATGACTTTTAGTAAATCTAAAAATTCATACATCAGACATCCTTCGGACTATCAGACATAGGACTATATGGGGGTCATCCTTGTAACTGACGAATCAAGGTATTACAACATTGACAAAAACCCGCGTCCTGACTGGGGGGTGGGGGGGGGGGGGGGGGGGGGGGGGGTTGCCACTAGACATATATCCATTTCCTCTTTCCTCTTTCAGGAGAGTTTCGACTGGAAATATCTTACATACAAACTATATCGGTTTAGGTGTTTGGTGAAATCGTTTAAGAATACTCACTGCAAACTAGACATCTTAATTTGTAAAACGTACGGAATAAACAGACGTAATTGAGATTTCAGAAGAAGAAGAAAAAATTATTATATGCGGTAGAACTGCTGGCTGGGTTATAGTGATGATTCGTTGTGGTTAGCAAGTGTGATTCTGTGATATCGCAGCTGCTCCTGGTACAACGCAGATACCGTATTGACGGAGTGTGTCTGGCTAAAGTTCACACAGAAGTGCACGTATTGAAATGATAAGAATTGGATTTCACTGAAAATGTCAATTGAAATTAACAGCCGTTATTTATTTTTTTTTTTTTATTTTACATCAGAAATGATTGCAAGCAATATGAATGTCTTATGGTTTGGAAATTGTTTTCTTTGGTCGTTTCCGATGGAAAAGACCAGGTAGTGATATAATGTCTACAATAGCTATACAGCATGTGTTTTCTCAAGGACGTTTTTGCGTTATTCGCAAAACGCATTGTTATCTGTACGCGTGTAATGTGTGAAAATGACATGACTAGTCTCGTGATACTTTTAGGTGTGTTAAGTCTGTGGTTGGTCGATCCCAATCATGTTCTTTGATCATGACTTGAATAATCTTTAGCGTCCTCTGTAATTTGATTTCCAGTTTGATAGATTGGAGTAAAGCTTTGACCAGCGTACACATCCGACCTGACACTGGGGAAGGTGTGTCTGAATGTATCATTCATTGTACGTATTACAACAGAAACCTGATTCGTTTACAAATATTTGTTTCAGCAAGATAAATTTTGTAAATGTGAATGTTAGTTTTAATTTACATACGTATATTACTTGAACACAATATATTTAACACATAGTGACCTTATTAGACTATCAGGAAACCTAATCTTTTGGTATGACATTTAAGCCATTACATTTATATTATATTTCAGATGAAGTATAAATTGAAGGTTAAATCAGATCCCCAGACGTATTGATTTTCGCGTAGGATAAATGAGTAAATACCAATCTTCAGAACAGGTAGATATATACCTATATGTACTCATCTATTGATCTAAAAGTTATGAGAGGGGTCTTTACTAGATTATAGAGAAGTCTTCCATTCTTAAGTAATCTCATATACATTGTCAGCCAGAACATACACCACTGTTTTCGTCTAGAGATATCTGGCTATCACATGAGTCTGTACTATTTGTCTTCTTTCCAAGGGAAGATGGCTTTACTGTGACAGATTTCGCGATTTGTTTTTCATTGATTTTTTTCTTCCTTTGACATGTATAATAGGCTTTCATAGCATAGTGTTGGTACGGTAATAATTCTTATCCAAACCACGATCCTAAAAATATGATCGAATTTCGATGGAATTTAAAGAATTATCAAAATGAAGGCACTTTATGAAATATGGTGTCCTCGATGGAACTCGCAAAGAAAGTCCAGACGATGTATTGAGTGACAAGTGTGCACCGCTCTACTGTAGAACTTCAGAAATAGGAAGTGATCAGGTCGTTCCCAGAAGGGACAAAATACCTGCTGGACAACTAATGAAATACGATGCCGTTTTTTAAAATGTGCCCTAGTTTCATTGAATGTGTGTTTAAATTACGATTCTGTTAATATGTTGGTATTTTCTTTGTTGTTTTAAAGCTATTAGCGAGACACTTCAAACATCTCATGTTGATGTTGTCCACAGGTGATGAGGTTATCAAGGATCACGTTTATAGTGCGTCACACTGAAAGGTCACGATCTGGATATGGTAACATAATATCCCGCCCTATCATAAAGATAACGGAATTACCAGTCATTAGAAGTAATACTCATTACAAATAGAATACGTACTACTACCACACTTGAGTATTAATTCTAGCAATACCTGACAAAAATACATTATTGTAAGAAACGTAGATATTAAAAAAAAAACAAACAAAAAACAATGAATACGTAGAAACAAATTAGGGAAAACAAGCAAACGATAAGGTGAAGAAATAACGGACAAGGCAAGACTAGTTAATAGATCCATGGTCATTTTGAAAATAAAAATAAGACAAACCATTGATGTAACAATATAAAACCTTAGGGCTTTAGGTTAAGTCATTTAAGAGAACCGAGGCAGTTTGTAATAATATCAAGACCATTCCATGTAATGTAACAGTCCAGCAGACATAAAATTTTAAGTAAGTAGATAAACGGATTGTCCATCATATTAAGACATCATGTACTCAATTTCAACACTAACAATACAATAGGATGAAGGACCAAAGCAGGTTTGTAAAAGGAACATCACAACAAAACATTTTGTATCATTATAATCTAGTAGGACAAAATCAGTAAGACGCTAGGCCAATGTATTAAAATAAAAAAGTGCCATGACCAGTATGACCAAAAGCTTTGTAAGCAATGGAAGACCCAACTTAACATATTTCAAAGACACGGGTTGATTCTAAGATAAACCCCATAAGACAAAACAAGCAGAAAAAGACAAAAGACTTTTTATTTTTTTCTTATTTTAATGGTGAAGTCATCAGTCAGTTTGTATGATGATCTAAAATAACGTATGTCTGTTTAAAAATAGATGATCACCTCCTCGCGCAGTGTTTGCTTCTATGTCACGTCACGCTCTATGTGGAGGTACATAGTACACTTATATGTATACATATATAGGGTTTATAGGGTGTGAACGTGATGGTAACTGTTTGATACATTTCGTATCGATAATGGCATAACCAGTATGTACCATTCGACGATATGTGGTATATTGATTACACAAGCAATACACGCGCGCACGCCCCCTCCTTCACACATCACTGACAAATCTCCTACAGCTACAATATACACTGCATACAATACGTTTCCTCATACGACGCACCGCACGGGTCTGTACTAATTAGTGATCAATTCGAACGCACCCGAGCAATACAAGGAGGCCCAAACCTCCCGCGCCTGTTCTATTCGATACTACGGTTCTGCTCATAAACGCGGTGTTCTTCTTCTGTCGAGTTCTCGAGAGACAAAGTCAGTCGGAACTTCTTACAGAGCTGTCAGGCATTAAATAAGTCAGATGGAGTTTAGTTAGTCTTACTTATAAGAAGGATACAGAGCTTCAAACATGTCGACAAGAGTCAAGTATATACATTGGCGTTACCTCATAGGCCTTTGAAAAAATTCACAGGTGTCAAAGATATGGCTGTGCTGTATTCGATAACAGTTTGATTGGGCGTTGCAACACCTTAAGTATCCGGAAGAATTCTCACTATGGGTGATTATGTTATTGACTCTGGAAAGAAAATATTTTCATTGGATGATGAAGATGTGTTTATAAACGACGTAATCAGTTCGACAGCTGGTACTAACATGTCAAATACAAGACACAACGAAACAGGGTTTGAATCTGGGACCGGAAACGAGACTTTTCCCGATGGCGTAGCGATGTCAGAAAGTACCTTAACTGGACTTACCATTCTCTACACCCTTACAACTGTCTTCTCTATTACTGGAAATGTGTTTGTCGTTCTTGTATTTGTTAGGGGCCGGAGATCCCGTACGGACCTTAGACCATTTTTGATAAATTTGGCAGCTGCTGACCTTATGATGGCTCTTTTTTGCATGCCTTTCACCTTTGCTGATGTGATATTAGGCCGATGGTTGTTTCCGGAAGTGCTTTGTCCTCTCGTTTTGTTTGTCCAGATTTTTTCTGTTGCTGCCAGTGTTTTCACGAATATGGCGATAGGAATAGATCGTTTCCTTGCCGTAACGTTTCCTTTACGGTCACGGTTGACACACGCACGTGCGAAATATGTGATAATTGTTATTTGGATCTGTGCTTTCATTTTAGGTTCCGTCATGTTTTTTGTCGGACGTGCAACTGAAATACCAGAATTCGGAAACGGAACTCAGAAATGCTTAGAGAACTGGCCGGGTGATGAGGCAAGACGTATTTTCACAATTTTTATATTTATTGTGACATATGTAGTTCCTTTGTTAATACTAGCTATTACTTATTCAATTGTTGGAATATTACTTTGGAAGAGAACGGCGCCTGGGAATAAGGACCACATACGAGACATGCACAGGCTGCGCTCAAAAATAAAGGTAAGAACCAATACACGTGCTTTGCATGGCTCATTTAGAGGCGGTATATATACTTATAACAACAGTCAAAAATCAATTTGATTAAACGTTAACGCTGAAATGTAAAATGCATTGCTTTAATATGTTAGCACTTAAGCTAATTGCTTTAAAAGTATTTTTCTAAAGTATTTTTAACGGGTTATAAACCACGAAAGTAGGATACTAAAGTAAGTATATGGTAATTATACTAAGTGATATTCATGTTTCAGTACAAAACGTATAGAAGTCAAATGATAAAGTACATTCATTTCACGAAAAGGAATAGCTGTTTTGAGTTACTTTACAGGAAAGTTTAATACACCGTAATTATACAAATGATTAAAGTTAATTTACCCTACATTTATAAACAAAATGTAAAAATTTGAAATTCAGGAGTAAGTGAATTCAATAATCCATAAAGAAAATCAGTCTTGATTAGAACCATATTAAGTACAACTGATGAGTATGACTACTTAAAACAAGAAAATTGAAAAAAAATCGATCAGTGTCGGTTAACTCAATGTGGTAAATTCTGTTTAATCGCACATCAAAAAGGATTTGTGTGTCTACATTGAATGAATAATTTGTGTGTACATTATTTACAGTTCTAATACGTTGAATACGATCTATGGGTCTGCACTGAATAATATATGTGTCTACATTGAACAATATGTTGAATAAGGGCTCTGGGTCTACACTGAAAAACATATGTATATGCATTTAATAATAAGTTGCATATGATATATGGGTCTACATTGAATAACATTTGTATATACATTGAATAACAAATTGAATACGACCTATGGGTCTACACTGAATAAAATCAATGGGTCTACATGTATATACATTGATTAATTAATTGTGTGCCAGTCCACTAGTGATATTAAGTACGAGTTGGGTGACTTACTGTACAACTTATTCATTCAAATTTGATTCATATCTTTAACGATAGAACTGTATATACAGCAGATATTAGTTGACTACGGTTTTAGAAACATGCAAATTACTTCGTTTATGAAACTTTTCTTAGGTATGCATGTACTTATCTGTCCGAAAAAAAGAGCGTTTTTCTATTTATTATTACACAATGAAAACATGTGAATCCGTATTTGGAAATTTTCGTTAATTGGAGATGAAGACAATGTTTTCCGTAAACGTTGATTCAACGAGAGGTTTATAGCCGTTAAACAGTGCCGCCAGGTAGGCAGCGCCATTGATTCATTTTGAAATTTCATCACCAGATCCACGTGTTGTGCCTTGATGATGTCAAGGTTTGCGTTCTAACCACCAATTAGAGACGCGTAACACTGCAAACTAATCAAGCAATGCTTTATCTCATCCACGGAAAGACATTAAATCAAATAACGTCATTAAAGCTACCGACGGTAAAAATGTGTTAAACTGAAAATGAATTATGTATTAATATGTTAAATGTGTTTTCTTTGTTAAGAGTTCCTTCTTTGCCTTAAATCATAGTTAGGAAAAATAAAAAAACCTGTGTAATTTCTATTTTGACACAGACGATAGTTCAATTATATCATAGATTTATAATTTGGTGTTGTCATAAATAAACGTGACATGATAATCAAAACTTAAAACAAACAAAAAATAAACATAATTACATCTCTCTTAGGAAAATTACTTTGATGTTTCAATTTGCGCAATACCAGTGTTTCTTTGAATTATCTTAGTGTAAAAAATGTTGATAACGAGCTAGCCATTTTTGTCCGCCGACAGGAAGTAAAAACTTTCCCATAATCGTCATCACGTATAATGGATGCTACCCATTGAATGTGTTCCTTGTATGATATATGCACGAGGTTGAAATTATTGCAGCTGGCATGTTGCTGTTGCTATGATTTGCCGAAGTTAGCCACACAAAAGAGATATCTTAGGTCTAAAAGGGGGCTAGCATTGCATAGGATATTATAGCAGCGAAGAGAGTAAAGTCAAGTGGCTTGGTGTTGGCTATTAGCATCAAGCTGCATTCTGTTCCGCGTCACATCAATGTAGGATGTAGAAAGCTGTAATTCTGAATAAGATTGAGGACTAATCGAATAACGTGCATTTTTGAAAAATAACTATAAAGATATTAACACAATATACGTTCTTTTCATTATTTATAGCTGTTACTGAATTTGAACGTAAAGTGATATATATTCTTCGTTCCTTCAGATCTTATCTGAATTTTCAATTAATGGTCCTAATATAGCCAGAATCAGATAATCGTTGTTTATGCTATGGCTACGACCTGGAAACTATAGCAATGTCACAATCATCAAACACGTGCGTTCTTGTAGTTCTCTTCAATGAACAGTGTTAATAGCTTGTCTTTTGAACGGTTATTTGTCTTGTCTATGACATTTGCACCCACCATTTTACTGGTTTGAGATAATGAGTTGAATTATACTAACGTCTTCAAATGCTTAAAACAAATACATAACAAATATTGCGTTATTCTATAATTATCTTTATTTGAAAGACGTTTACAATTGAAATATAAAATGTTGGATAATTACTCGGGTTTGCGTGCTTATTTAAAGTATAACATTAAGTTATATACAAATCCGCATTGTTTCCGTACAATACCACTGACCACAGGTGGGCACATTCTTCCCTAAAACTAAAAACAAAAAAACACAAAACAAAAACCAAAACAAAATAATATCAAGTGGTTTTAATTTTTGATTTTAGATTGAAATTGTGTCTGAATTATGACCTGTATACGTATTGCAAATATTTATTTGGACTGTTCACTGAACCAAGTGCGCTCGACATCGTCAGACAATGAAGGATTAGCGGAACGGATGATATCGCGACATAGACTAAAATTCCGTTGATCTCATGCCGATCACTCATTGGTGTAGGTGATATGCATTACGTATGAAGATTTATTGCCTCGAGTCTTGTCAATGCAATCGTATAGTGCTATGTGTGCACGGGTTACTTAGAAAGGCGTCTTCGTCGATTTGATCAGACTCCTGCGGGAGTTGGCACGCGCCTCGTATATATTTGGGAATGTGATGGTAAATTATTCTCACACAACATTGACTTTAATAGAGTCGTGTGTCGGTACAAAGTAAAACATTATACTGCGTTTGACGTAATAATAAAACTGGCAAATCTCGGATTATTGTCTTGGATGGGGGCTTTTACGACTTTACCCGCACTGACCCAAGATGAAAGGGAGAAAGAATCACTTTACATTAGCCGTGTACTGTACTCTGTAGGACATATTGTATTCGGAAAAAGGTGTTATTAGACTCATATTTCTCTGTAGATAATTTGCGTAAGGGAATTTGGTCGTAAAAGATTGCATTAGCATTAGCATATATATATATATATATATCCATTACCAGATTATTGAGTTTTGTGTGCAATGTAGATGAAATAAGAGGATTAATGAAAAGGACAAATGATATTGTTATGACTAGAGTTATTTCCCTTGTTTTTGCTGTAATATAAAGATTTGTCTTGTTTTATCAACACGTAGCTCATTAGCACGCATTGTTTGTATCAGTAGAAGTACATTGACATTTCCCTCGTCTGTAAAAGACTGTTATACTATTAATTTTTAATTAAGCTGAAACTAAACCAGGATGAATCACGAGAATGTGTGAAGGTGATGGTGATCGAAACATATAATCGCTGTAGTAGAAAACGCTCGAACTGGTACATATATTTGAGAATCGAGATTTGAAATAAAGACAGGAAGGAAAATATCTGACGCTTGACAGTCAATGGTTTTACATAGGGACCATATAATCATAACTAAAATATTTGTTTCTGGGGTTGAAGGCCTTTTCAGAAAAACTTATCACTCATGTAACATTACGAAGTAGTCATACATGTATCCAGAGAGAACATATCACATTCACCATATGTAAGCGCCAGTTTCAGGTCTTCAGGGAAATTTGATGGACAAAAATGATTGACGTGGTTGAACCAAGACACGAACTTAGAAAAAAGACTTTCATACCACAGGAACAAACAAGCAAGAAACAATTCAGTTTGTTAGGTAGAGTTTCGCAAATACCCATTAAATCATTACATAAAACATACGAGACGAAAGCTTAATCAAACTGTGTATCTTACTGCAGTTTGTTTTTATACAGTTTATTCATATTGCGTCGATCTAGTTTTGTTGTTTTTGGCTGATCGACACCGCCGGCCCCTCAGGACTAGACGATATTGATTCTACAAATTGATATCTATGATTTGATAGAACTACATCGATATGTAGAATACAGAAAGTTGTACATGTTTGTATCAAACAGTAAAGGTAGTTTGTTTACCAACCAAAGGAACTCCATCATTATGGCAACTGCCCCATATTCAAAATAGTTTTGTACACCGTTAATGTTGCGTTTAAATTGTACTTGTTAAGTTACACGATTCCTTGTACTAAAACAAAGACGAAATCTATGAGTTCATTTATTCAATGTATTTAATACATCAATATTGAAATCCGAAACTTTCAAGATGTTAAAGGAGACGTGAGTTAAACGGTTAATGTTATTTTACACAAAAACACAAGGTCGTGCATCTCGTACTATTCACATTGGTCTTTTCACGGTCTCACCTGTATTTTTGTTGATGACTTGACAAACTTCACGTATACCACTCAATCTCAGTTCAATTTACTTTAACAAGGTGCGTGCAAAATATCAAAGAAATTGCAAAAATTAGATGATCATCGCACAAACTGTATATTGAAACCGGTAGATACAATACGGTTGAAAGAATTGATAGAGTTTGCAACTTTTGTACGAGTGGCGATATTGAAGATGAGTATCACTTTATTTTAAAATGCGAACATTATAAAGATATAAGGAAACGTTTTATTAAAAAGTATTACTATATGAAACCAAGTATGGCAAAATTTATACAACTTTTGGACACAGAAAATACTAAAGATCTGTCGAATTTAGGAAAATTTATAAGTATTAGGAACAAAAGGAGAATAAATACTGTTTAAGACA